TTTCTTCCATTGTGTTGTTGTGTTGTTAAGTGCCGTTGAGTCGGTTCCGACCCATAGCAACCCTGTACAGGGTTTCCGAGGGTGTAAATCTTTACGGGAGTAGAAAGCCTCACCTTTCTCCCGCAGAGTGGCTGGTAGTTTCGAACCGCTGATATTAAGGTTCGCAGCCCGATTCGTAACCACTATGCTACCAGAGCTCCTTTTTAATGCTGATTTTATTTTTGTCAACCATTCTAATTTTTTTTTAATTGAAATCTTCATTTCTTTATGAGGCTCTGAATTATTTTCCAGTGTTCTGTTATTTCAAATTCAACCTGTGGAATTCCTTTTACCATTTCTTGTGGGGAAGATCTATTAGTAATAGACTCTATTTACTTTTGTTTATCTGAGAATGTCTAAATTTCTCCCTTATTTTTGAAGGACTGTTTTGCTGGATATAGAATTCTTGGTTGACAGATTTCCTCTTTCCCATCTTTCAACATTTAAAATATGTTATCTGTTGCCTTCATGGTTTCTGATTTTATTGAGAATCTCTTGTACATGACAAATTGCTTCTTTCTTCCTGCTTTCAAGATTTTCACTTTGTCTTTCTATTGTTTGATTCTAATATATTTCAGTGTAGATCTCATTGAATTTATTCTACAGTAGTACATCGAGTTTCTTGGATGTGTAGATTTGTGAGTTTCATCAAATTTGGGTCATTTTTGGCCAGTATTTCTTCAAATATTCTTTCTGTACTTTTCTTTCTCTCTCTCTCTCTCTCTCTTTTTTTTCAAGTTTAGTTTACATAGAGAACGTCTATTTTATACTCATCATTTCATTACAATGATTAAAATCCCTTCCGTGCATCATCATTCAACAGTATTTGCTTCCATTCCCTCTGGATGGAATTTTTTGTTTTTGTTTTTGTTTTTTTTTTGTGGGGAGATGTACACACAGGACTATGTAATAATTTAAACAACTAAAGGACATATTCAATAAGCCTGACTCCTGGCCACCAGCACTCAGTCTCTCTCTTTCCATGAGTCTAGAGCTCTGTGCTCTCTCTCCATGTCCTCATATCTGCCCCCATCTCTGGTGTTGCTTCCTTTCTGGATAAGTTCCCACATTTCTTTCATGCTTTGCTCCCTTGATGGTCCTAGGGCCCTCTGTTCCTGGACTGTAAGATTAACTACTCCCCCCTTTTTGTTACAAAACTTCTACCTGTACAATTGTGACAGTCTCATTTAGTCATGGTAACAAACGTAAGAATCTTATCCCCAGCTCTTCTGACCAGACCTGTCTAGACAAGATGAAAACTATTCAGTGGGGACTCTACCTTTCCCCTCACACTCTTAAACTAAACTCCCTCTTGAAAACTTGTAAGCCAGTCACTTCATGCCTTTATCGCCCCCTCATTTTAGGTAGCCAGTGTCTTAAGTTGCCCATCCCTGTCAACCCTGTGTACAGAGGGGATGTGATTGATACTTGATGTGAAGACTCCTTCCCTCTCGATTGGTATTTTGAGCTACTACTACACCCATAAGTATAGGTAAGTTCATCAAATTGTAGCAATTTACCTGCATTTCCTTTATCAAAAATTGCTTTTTTTATTTTCCTCTAGTCGAGTTCTGATCATTGAGCCATCAAGGCTAGGTCAAATGGGTACTATCTGCAAGTCAGGGCATTTTTGTGCATCTCCCCTCACTTCATGTCAACTGGATGCTTCAGTCTCAGTTCTAGCTCTCCATGGCTATGCCCTTGTCCATGGACTCAGGAGTCCTGAGGTCTCACCACACTTCAAACCAACCAGCCCTTCCTCTTCTCTCCCTCATCTACAGATCATCCAGTCAGCCCGTATCTTCATTGCTGCCTTTCTCTCTCTTCTACTCACCAGTAGACCAATGTGGTCTCCAGCAAGCTTACATGCCTGCTGATGTGTTCCCTTTGAGTTTCAGTCTTGGAGGGGGTCTTTCTCTCTTCTTCTAGAACTCTCATTATGCATATGTTAGTTCACTTCTTGTTGCTTAGTAGGTCCCTTAAACTCTGTTTACTTTTTCAATCTTTTTCTTTCTGCTCCTCAGACTTGATAATTCCAATTATTCTATTTTCAAGTTCATTGATTCTTTGTTCTTCTTGTTCATATGTATTATTGAACCATTCTAGTGATTTTTTACTTTTTCTCTCTTTCTCTAAGTGAGAGAAAAAGAGGAAGACCTCCAACGAGATGGATCGGCCAGGTGGCATCATTGATGGACTCGGGGGTGGCAGCGGTGGTGAGGTTGGCCCAGGATCGAGCATTGTTTCGTTCTGCTGTGCATGGGGTCGCTATGAGTCGGTTCCGACTCGATGGCACCTGACAACAACAACAAGTGATTTTTTAAACTAAATTATTGTATTTTTTAGATCCAAAATTACTGTTAACTTCTTTATGATTTCTATCTCTTTATTGATATTCCTGTGGAGTCCTGATGTGGCATTGGAAGATAAGCACTGAACTGGAAGGTCTGTTTGAAATGAAAGGTCAGCAGTTCAAACCCACCAGCTGCTCCTTAGAAACCCTGTTGTTGTTGTTAAGTGCCATCAAGTCGGTTCCAACCCATAGCAACCCTGTATTGAGTTTCCAAGGAGCGACTGGTGAACTTGAACCACTGACCTTGTAATTCAAACAGCTTTGCAGTCTGGTGCATGAACTCACAGAGCCACACCAGGACTCATACAGGGTCACTATGAATCAGAACTGACTCGACAGCACTTACCAATATTGATATTCCTTTAGTTCTTTGTCCATCCTTTCTTTGTTGTTGTTGTTGTTGTCAGGTGCCATCGAGTCAGAACCGACTCATAGCGACCCCATGCACAGCAGAATGAAACAATGTCTGATCCTGGGCCAACCTCACTACCGCTGCCACACTTGATGCCATCAATGATGCCACCTGGCTGATCCATCTCGTTGGGGGTCTTCCTCTCCTTCTCTGACCCTCCATCTTACCCAGCATGACATCCTTCTCCAGCGACTGTTCCCTCCTGGCAATATGTCCAAAGTATGACAGATGAAGTTTAGCCATCTTGGCCTCCAAGGAGCACTCTGGCTGCACTTCTTCCAAAACAGATCTATTAGCTTTTTTGGCAGTCCGTGGAACTTTTAGTATTCTCCTCCAACACCACAATTCAAAGGCATCAATTCTTCTACAATCTTCCTTATTCACTGTCCAGCTTTTGCATTCATATGAGGTTATTGAAAATACCATGTCTTGGGTCAGGCGCACCTTAGTCCTCAAGCTGACATCCTTGCTCTTCAACACTTTAAAAAAGTTCCTGTGCAGCAGATTTGCCCAATGCACTACATCGTCTGATCTCTTGACTGCTGCTTCCATGAACGTTGATAGTTAATCCAAGAAGAATGAAGTCCTTGACAACTTCAATCTTTTCTCCATTGATAAGAATGTTGTTTATTGGTCCAGTGGTGAGGATTTTTGTTTTCTTGACATTGAGATGCAATCCATAGCTTTGTGTATATACTTAAGACAGCTATTTTAGTCTTTTTCTAGTAAAAGTGAATGTCTGGGCATCCTTAAGGATGATGTTTATTGCTTTATTTTGTTCCTTTGATTAGCCATCCTTTCCTGTTTCTCCATATAACTTGTGATTTTTTTTTGTTGAGAATGGGACATTCAAATGTTATAATATGGTAACTCTATAAATCAGATATGCCCTTTTTCTTAGGTTTTGCTGGGTATTTTTTTTTTGTTTATTATTGTTGGTTTAGTGACTTTTCCAAAATGTTTTTTCAAAAACAATATTCCTTGTGTGGTTACTGAGGTCTGTCCTTTTAGCTCATGCTTTGCGAGTATTTTGACAGAGATTTCCTTTAATGGCCGGAACTTTTTTAAAAAGAAAATAAAATATAATTAAAAACAACAGGAAACACAAAAAAGCACCTCTCCTATTCTTGGTAGATTGGTTCTGTGCTGGGGCACTCCTTCAACACTTACCCATGAGTTCACTGAACGTTGAGACATAGATTTTTCATAGGTGTGTTTTGAGTACGTATCTTGTTCTGGGTATGACATAGCATTTTAAATTCTATCATATATACTAGTGTTTTTGAATGCCCCAGTTTCTCCCCCCAGGATTTAGGTAGTGGACTGTATGTCTCAACAGTACTCTTATCCCAGGTGATCACAGGTTCATCATTCATCTCAGCGTTTTCTAGCAGCACCCATCATTGTTTAGTACTGAGTAAATTCTGAGCTAGGTGAAACTGATGTGAGCTCCTTACATCCACCCACAGAAAGGTCAGAACAGACAAACACAATAGTTTGTGACAAAGGTCTGCTGTATTTCATCCAGAACGAGGGACCAGGGTCCCACACTGTTTTCTTCAAGACCACTGCTAAGTAGGAAGGTGAAAAGGCATCGGTAAAAATAACTGCAAAGCTTTCTTTGAGTCATTGTTTCCCAGAATGCTGTAAACCTTTGACTGCTTTTCCCAGTTCTAGTAAAGTTCTTCTGGCAATTTCTACTTTTTTGTTTTTTAAAATGTTTTTAGGTTTTTGTTTTGTTTTGTTTTTGGTGGGAGTTGAAGTTTCCAACTCTGCCATCATGCTGACCTCTTAATCAAATAGGTAAATATCTGATGGCTAAAGGTAGAAAAAGGAATAAGGTGAGTAAAGGTAGGAAAGTGCATTGTAGCAAATAATTCCAGGGAAACAGTGGGCTTTGACATATCGTTTGAGCCCAGTTTGGGGGACTTTGGTTGTTTATTAGGTCTTGTTATTCTCTATAAAATCAGCTTAGTTTGTGTAATCTTAATCATATTCATTTCTATAAGTGCTTTAAAATATAACACATCAGATATGGTCTTTCAGTCAATTTCATGACTATTTCTCATATACAAGAACAGTGTGAAAAATGGTGTCCCAGTATAAATTATCACATTATAAACACTTCCCTAGTGACATTTGCATTATTTAATTTTTACTCATTGATGATTTGTTCATCTTTTCTTTCATTTACAGTGATTTGCAAGGAGTAAGAACAAATGCCAAAAAGGATGGAAGTGATTGGATTCTCAATGGCAGCAAGGTGTGGAAAGCCCAGGACTCCCATAGCCCTTCTCTCCAGTAATGCCATGGATAACAGTGTCCCAAAGACTGCTCATTACTGAGTTTGTCAAACTCTGAACCTCACACAAATTGAGTTTACCTAAGTTATTTCTGAGACACAAAGGAAATTGCAGCATTTATATTTCATAAACTCTGTGGTAACCTCTTCCATGTTCTATTTTGCATGTTCCCCTCACTAATATGGCAAAGGTTGTTTTAGCGTTCAAACAGCCTTTTTCCAAAAACCAGAAAAGGTGAAGCTAAGGCTCTTATTGCCAAAGACTCATTGGGAGTCATCCTCTTTTGTGCAGACCCTCCAGATTATCAAGCATGACGTCCTTCTCCAGGAACTGGTCCCTCCTGATAATATGTCCAAAGTATGAGAGACGAAGTCTGGCCATCAGGGCCTCTAAGGAGCATTCTGGCTATACTTCTGCCAACACAGATTTGTTTGTTCTTCTGGTAGTCCGTGGTACTTTTAATATTCTCCTCCAACACCATAACTCAAATGCATCAATTCTTTTATGGTCTTCTTTATTCATTGCCCAACTTCCACATGCATGTAAGGTTATTGAAAATACCATGGCTTGGGTCAGGCTCACCTTAGTCCTCAAACTGACATCTTTGCTCTTCAACACTTTAATGAGATCTTGTGCAGCAGATTTGCCTAATGCAATACGTCACCTGATTTCTTGACTGCTGCTTCCATGAGTGTTGATGGTTGATCAAGAAGAATGAAGTCTTTGACAACTTCTTTTCTCCATTTATATGGATGTTGTTTGCTGGTCTAGAAGTGAGGATTTTTGTTTTCTTTACATTGAGATGCAACCCAAACTGAAATGCTGTGGTCTTTGATCTTCATCAGTATTTTAATTCCTCTTCACCTGCAGCAAGAAAGGTTGTATCATCTGCATATCGCAGGTTGTTAATGAGTCTTCCTCCAATCCTGATGCCACATTTTTATTCATATAATCCAGCTACCCTCATTATTTGCTCAGCCTACAGATTGAGTAAATACGATGAAAGAATACAGCCCTGGTGCACACATTTCCTAATTTTAAACCATTCAGCATCCCCCAGTTCTGTTCAAATAATTGCCTCTTGGTATATGTTGAATATTCTGGAACACTCATTCTCCACGATGTTGTCCATTTGTTGTTGTTGTTAAGTGCTGTTGAGTCTGTTCTGACCCATAGCGACCCTGCATAGGGTTTTCGAGGAGTGACTAGTGAGCTTGAACTGCCAACTTTGTGGCTCAAACCGACTTTGCAATCCAGCGCATTAAGTGCCACACCAGGACTCCATTGTCCATAGTTTGTCATCATCCACCCAATTGAAAGCCTTTGCATAGTCAATAAAGCACAGGTAAACGTCTTTCTGGTAGTCTCTGCTTTCAGTCAAGAGCCATTCATTTGACACTAGCAATGATATCCCTTGTTCCACGTCCTCACCTGAATCTGGCTTGAACCTCTGGCAGTTCCCTGTCAAGGTACTTTTGCAGCCATTTTTGAATTGTGTTATTAATTTTACTTTCATGTGATATTAATGATAATGTCAGATGATATCCATATTCTGTTGGGTCACCTCTCTTTGGAATGGGCACAAATATGGATGTCTTCCAGTCAATTGGCCAGGTGGCTTTCTTCCAAAATATCAACACAAAGTCTGTAATAGTATAATAAAATAATTATATTAACATTAATTTTAAAGATCAGTATATAAAATGCAAATATAGAAAATTAGAACTATATTAAAGAAAAAGACAAGAAAGAAAATGTCACAAGGATATTCACATTACGGACTCATGGAGAATTGTAATTTTCTTTTTCTTTATAACTTTACATAGTTCCTGTACTTGCATAGAGGACAAAGAGAGGTATAAAGCATGTCCTATCTTCTTGAATTTGCTTTCTCCTAGTCATAATTTGCACATAGACCTACATTTTTATGGTGCTTTATAGTATATTTTTTGCAGGTATTCATCACAAATGGATGGATGAGTGATGTTGTGATAGTAGTTGCAATCACAAGTCGTGAAGCTCGCTCCCCTGCCCATGGCATTAGCCTTTTTCTGGTGGAAAATGGAATGAAAGGATTTATTAAAGGGCGAAAACTAAGTAAAATGGGATTAAAAGCCCAGGTAAGTCATAATAAATCAGACTCAGGTAGTGAGTTTATCATCAATCTGACAGATGCCGTATGTAGAGAGTACACAACTAACCTTTCTACATTCAGCTCCTGAAATATGCTTTTCAGAGATGTATTCCATCCTTGACACAATAGTGACTCTTTCTCATGGTCAGCAATGGAGGTGACCCAGAGCATTTGAATACCTGCATTCTAATTAGCAAAATCAGCTGCATGGCAATCAACCTTCTCTTTAGGAAATTGATGGAGGAAAATGATAGAAAACAAATATTTTTTCTCCTATGCCTCATACAGTTACTAACAAGAAGTGCATATTTATTATACAATGGGAATCTTTTGTTCTCAATACATAAGTCACTGGACAAAAGTAGACCTAGATAGAGCATATTTATTATACAATGGGAATCTTTTGTTCTCAATACATAAGTCACTGGACAAAAGTAGACCTAGATAGAGCATATTGTAGTGGGGAAGGCATTAGTTTCATTTGATTTTTGTTTTGTTTTCTTCTCTCAAATGAGAGTAATGATATTCATCTCAGGTTATTGGAGATTCAAACAAGATAATTCTCTACTTAATTCTTTGGCCTTTTAGGATACTGCTGAACTGTTCTTTGAAGATGTGAGGTTACCAGCTAGTGCCCTACTTGGAGAAGAAAACAAAGGCTTCTATTACCTCATGAAAGAACTTCCACAGGTGAGAAATGTATAAAGATTTCTTTTTTCTTTTTCTTTTTTGAGTAAATAATGAACTAGACTAGAATTATAGAGAACTATTAAAAATCGATGCTTACAAAATTTATGATCTAGTCAACAATTTGTGTATAACTTAAAATGGTAAAAAATAAAATAAGAATTTTGTATGCTAGATAAATAAATCATTGAACTCAGAGTATTCCAATCAAAGCTTAGAAAGTGATTAGGCAAAGATAAGTGTTTGATTCTTTCTTGGAATAATTTTCAGTTCTGAACTATATGTCAAAAACTTGTGGTTCTTTTTAAGAGAGTATCTGCTAAGGCATTTAACACTTTTTCATAATAACTGAATCAAAAGAGAAAAGTTTTAAGTTTAGACTAGAGAGTCCTGGTGTGATGCTGTGGGTTAATGCGCAAGACTGCAAAGTCGGTTCGAACCACAAGGTTGGCGGTTCAAGCTCACCAGCCACTCCTCGGAAACCCTATACAGGGTCATTATGGGTTGCAACTGACTTGATGGCACTTAACAACAACAATGAAAAGAGCTTTAGCCACAAGAGTCAATGTTCCTCCTCTGCCCTTTTGAAGTGTGGGTTCATAGGGATCATTGAGCCTCAAATGTCAATAAAAGCAAATATACCTCCTTGGTGACTCTCACATCGTGGGCTAAGCATGAAATTGGGACAAGGACCAGGAACAGTGGTGTGGAAATAGGATACAATGTAACTTTTGCACTAATAGGTAGAATTTAAACGATGTGCTTTAAGAAGTTGATTTTCACAGAAATGTTAGGCCATATAGTGCACAGAGATCAATAAATAAAAATAAACAACTGTGACATTTCTCTGTAGCCCTGGTATGGACTACAATGGACTGCTAAGTGTAAAGTTGGTGGTTTAAACTTGCCAGCTGCTCCTTGGAAACCCTATAAAAAGTTGTTATGAGTCAGAACCAACTTCGTAGCACTTAACAAGAGCAACGTAGAATTTTTTTACTCATCTATAAATGAAAGAGACAAACGGTATTGAGTAAATTAACTCATATATTAATAGTCAGTAAGGAAAGTCATTCATAAAAATAGTTTGCTTTGGAGAGTTATTTGTATAGATATCTCAAACTAATGTCAAATCTGTTGATTTAAAGAACTAAGAAATAAGTGAATCTTTAGGAACTTTTTAAAGATTGTTTATGGGACTTATCATTGAAATCATGTGATTGCCATTTGTACAATTAAAATAATGTTCAAGACCTAATTTTTGGGTTATAGGAAAGGCTATTGATTGCTGAGTTGGCAGTTTCAGCCTGTGAATTCATGTTTGAAGAAACCAGAAACTACGTTAAACAGAGAAAAGCTTTCGGGAGAACAGTTGCACATATACAGGTAAGCTTGTCATTCATCATGGCTTAGCAGTATATATCAGTTTGCTCATCCGAACTGGGTCTTGGCTAAACACAAATATGCAGTAATTTTCACATTGGTGGTATTAGAAACCATGGAAGTGGATAAGAGTACCTTGAGGGAGACTTTGGAGAGTAAGATAAGAAGTCCTAAGACAGAGTCCTGGGAAAAAAACTACCAGATTAGGAAAGAAAAATCCTACAAAGGAGGCTGAGAATGAAAAGCTAGGACGGAGAAAGAAAATGAGAGGAGAATTGTCATGGAATCTAAGAGAAGAGATATTTCAAGAAGAAAGGCCTGGTGCTAAGTTGAAAAAAAGAGGACACCAAAGAATATCAACTGGCTGTAATGATATGGAGATCATCTTGGTGACGTTTAGTAAACACAGGAAGTGGAGAAGTGAATAGAAATGAGGAAATATATATATATGAATGGCAGTCTACTCTGTCCTGAGTTTGAAAATGGGAGCATAGTTGAGAGAAAAGATGTAACTGAGGGGAGGCTAAGATTTCAGGGATAAGGGAGATGTCTGGTGGTGATTGTGTGCCGGAGAGTCAGTTCTGGTTCATAGCTACCCTGCCATAGGGTTTCTGAGGCTGCTGACCTTGAAGTTAGCAGCCCAACTCATAACCACTCACTACGCTACCGACAGATCTCCTTCGGGAGATGTTTGGGATTAATTTTTTCTCATTATTAGAATGAAAAATCATGGAACATTTTTAATACCTAGAAAAATCAGTATGGAAGAGCTGGTAAGTTTGAGCTTCCAACCTCGCAGGTCAACAGGAACAAAAGAAACGTAGGTATGGGTACAATCAGGTGTGCAGCTTTTTGGGTAGAAAATTATGCAAGTTTCTTTCTGAGACTTCTGCTTCCTTATGTAGCAGTAGGGAAGGTCAGTGCCTAAGTCAGGAATGCGTGAAGGGGAAATGGACGTGTTCAAGGAAAGAGAGGAAGGATTGAAATCCCCTCTTCAGCTTGAGAACCGTAGTAAGATGGTTAGCAGCAGTGAGGACCTAGATGAGGTTACTAGTTGCCATCCAGTTGATTCTGATTCATAGTGAATAACCCTGTAGAAAAGCGTGTTTCTAAGGCTGAAAACTTTACAGAAGCAGACTGTGCTACATCTTTCTCCCATAAAGCTGCTGGTAGCTTCAAACATCTGACTTTTTAGTTAGAAGGTGAGCGGTTAACCACTGTGCCACTCGGGCTCCTTTAGAGGTTAGTGATCATGAATGTATAGTGGTACTTTTTACTTTTTTTGGCGTCTTTACTAGAAAGGGTCAGCAATTCAGGTACAAGAACAGAGAAGGTGAATGATTATGTATTTTAAGGTTTGGTGTTTGCCAGGAAGTTTAAGGTATTTGCAAAAGAACTCAGTATGTGGTGGCATGTTGTTTTGTTGCTGTTAAGTGCCTTCGAGTTATTCCAACTCATAGCGACCCTGTACAGTTTCTGAGAAGCGGCTAGTGGGTTTAAACCACTGACGTTGTGATTCACAGTCCAGTGCTTATCCGTTAGTACCACACCAGAGTCCTGGCATAGTCATCAAATATGGCAGTTAAAGTGGGTTTGGCTTTGGTTTTTCACATAATCTGCTGCTTCATTTTGTTCCAATAAAGGGAGCCTTTTTTTAAAAAAGTCAACTTCTTGCTTATGTTCTGGACTTTCTCTGTGGCACTCTGGTAATAATTTCCTACCTAAATGTTGATCAGTTTAACTTTTTCTATTTTATAAGGACTTCTTTAGGTTCTAATTCTCATTTATATAACCCCTATAAATAGTTACTCTGAATCTATGAAAATGAGATACACCTGTAATCAAGAAAAAAAAATTCAGTGTGACTTGACTTACCTATTGTGATTTTCTTAAAAGCAAGAATGTTGTGTTTTAATCTGTTGGATGTGGGACTGATGCTTTGTTTTGTAAAGCTTCACTCAATTCACAATTAAAAGTTGTTGTTGTTGTTTTAAGTTATATTTTATATCCCTTCTGTTTATTTTGTTGTTCTTATTAAGTTATTTCCAACTCATAGTGACTGTATGTACAACAGAATGAAACACTGCTCAGTCATGGACCATCATCACAATTGTTATGTTTGAGCCCATTGTTGCAGCTGCTGTGTCTAACCTTTCAGTTTAGATTTACACATATCAGTGTTTCTCAAGGGCTCTCCAACCTGTCGTGGTGTGGCGCTGTAGGTTAATGCACTGAACTGCAAAGTTGGCTTGAACCATAAGGTTGGTGGTTCTAGCTCACCAGCTGCTCCTTAGAAACCCTATACAGGGTCACTATGGGTGAAACTGACTCTACAGCACTTAACAACAACAACAATATCCTATCTGTACCCCAAGAACATTTAAAAGTGTCTGGGAGGGCTGCACAATGACAACTGTGAAACTAGCAGTAGTGCGCCCTGAGAGCCGGTGTTATTAAATGTCCATTTATTCAGACATAGCTCTGTCCCATGCACACTGTTGGTATTATGCAGTTGAGAAATATATACATAATTCATTCCCTTATGTTTCATCAAGAAAATATTTATTGAATGCCTTGTACAGGTGAGACATCCTGGAGACACTGTGTGTTAGACATTGGGCTGCTCACATCAAGGTTGGTGGCTTAAACCCACCAGCTGCTATGTGGAAGAAAGCTGAAGCTGTCTGCTGTAATAAAGATTTACCACTTCAGAAACCCTTTACAGGGACACAGTGAATTGGCATTGACTCAGTGGCAGTGGGTTTTTCTGATTTCTACAGGTGATGGTTGTGGTGTTAGGTGCCATCGAGTCCTTTCTAATTCATAGTGACCTTATGCACAACAGAATGAAACACTGCCTGGTTCTGCACCATCCTCGCAATTTTTGTTAACACTTGAACCCATTGCTGCCACCACAGTGCCAATCTATTACATTGAGGGTCTTCTTCTTTTTCACTGACCCTTCACTTTACCGAGCATGATGTCCTTCTCCAGGAACTGGTCCCTCCTGATCACCTGTTTCCTGATAACAAAGTCTCACCATCCTGGCTTCTGAGGAGCATGGTACATACACTGTACCAGCTGTACTTCTTCCGCAGGCATAGACCTGTTTGTTCTCTGGCAGTCTGTGGTACTTTGAATATTTTTCTCTTAACACCACAACTCAAATGCATCAATTTTTCTATGGTCTTCCTTATTCAATGTCCAGCTTTCACATGCATATGAGGCTATTGAAAGTACCATGTCTTGGGTCAGGCACACCTTAGCCTTCAAACTGATATATTTGCTCTTCCAAACTTTCAAGACATTTTATGCAGTTGATTTGCCTAATGCAACACATCATTAGATTTCTTGGCTGTTACTTGCATGAGTGTTGCTTGTGGATTGAAGCAAAATCAAGGATTTGGAAACTTCAATCTTTGTCCATTTAGCATGATGTTTTTTATTGGTCCAGTTGTGAGACTTTTTGTTTTCTTTACACTGAGGTGCAATCCATACCAAAGATAGCAGTCTTTGATTTTCACCAGTAAATATTTTAAGCCCTCTTCGCTTTCAGCGTATTATAAACTGTTAATGATTCTTCCTCCAATCCTGATGCCACCTTCTTCTTCAGATAATCCATCTTCCTGGATTATTTGCTCAGCATACAGATTAAATAAATATAATGAAAGACTACAACTCTGGCACACACTTTTAGTGATTTTAAGCCATTCAGTATCCCATGTTCTGTTCCAACAGCTGTCATTTGGTCTATGTACAGGTTCCTCATGAGCACAATTAAATGTTCTCGAAACCCATTCTTCACAATGTTATCCATAGCTTGTCATGATCCACGCAGTCAAAAGCATTTGCATAATCAATAAAGCACAAGTGAACATATTTCTGGTATTCTCTGCTTTCATTCAAGATCCATTTGGCATCAGTGATGATATCCCTAGTTCCACATACTCATCTAAATCTGTACAGAACCTTGGGCAGTTCCCTGTAAATGTACTGTTGTAACTGTTTTTGAATTATCGTCAGCAAAATTTTGCTTGCATATGATGATATTGTCTGATGATTTCCACATTCCTATGGGTCCCCTCTCTTTGGACTGTGCACAAATATGGATCTTTCAATTGTTGGCCAAGTAACAGTCTTCCAAATTTTCTTTGCATAGATGAGTGAGTACCTGCAGTACTGCATCAGTTTGTTCAAAGATTCCAATTTATATTCCATCAATTCCCAGATCCTTGTTTTTCACCAATGCCTTCAATGTAGCCTGGACTTCTTCCTTTACTGCCATAGGTTCTAATTATATGCTACCTCTTGAAATAGTCAAACACTGACCATTTCTTTTTGGTATAGTGACTCTATGTATAACGTCCATCTTCGTTTGATGCTGTCTGCACCATTCAATATTTTGCCCATGTTGTTGTTGTGAAGTGCCATTGAGTCAGTCCTGACCCATAGCAACCCTGTATAGGGTCTCCGAGGAGCAGTGGTGAGCTTCAGCTGCCAAAGATGCAGCTGAAATGACTTTGCTGTCTAGCGCATTAACCCACAGCACCACACCAGGACTCCGTTGTGCTCATAATAGTCTTCAATATTTCAAGTCAAGGCTTGAATTTTTTTATTCAGTTCTTTCAGCTTAAGAAATGCTAAACATGTTCTTTCCTTTTGGTTTTCTGACTCCAGGTCTTTTCACATTTCATTATAATTCTTGACTTTTTCTTCTCAAGCTGCCCTTTGAAATTTTCTGGTCAGCTCTTTGACTTTCTCATTTTTTCTGTTTGCTTTAGCATTGCTACATTAAGGAGCAAATTTCAGAATCTCTTCTGACATCCATTTTGGTCATTTCTTTCTTTCCTGTCTTTTTAATGACCTTTTGGTGTCTTCCTGTCTTCCTACAGCACTGGTCTTTGGTTATTAGTGTCTACTGCATCATATTTAATCTTGAAATAATCTCTAAATTCAGATGGAATATGTTCAAAGTCATATTTTGACTCTCAATATTTATGGGG